ATGGTGGCATATTCACACAATGGACATTACTCAGCATTAAAAAAAACCAAACTGCTGATATACACAGCAACATGAATAACTCTAAAAACATTATGGGGGCGCCTGGATGGCTCAGTTGGTTAAGTATCCGACTTCAGCTCAGGTTATGATCTCATAGTTCATGGATTTGAGCCCCATGTCAGGCTCTGTGCTGACAGCTCAGAGCCTGGGACCTTCTTCAGACCCATTCTCTCTCTCTCTCTCTCTCTCTCTCTCTCTCTGTGTGTGTGTGTGTGTGCCCCTCCCCCAACTCATGCTTTGTCTCTGTCTCTCAAAATGATGAATAAACATTAAAAAAATTTTTTTAACATTATGATAAAATATATGATTTGGTTCCGACAAAGGAGCAAAAGGCAAACTGAGCACAAAGCACAAGCTAACACCCTGCACCCACCCCATCCCCAGGTGAGATATGTGTGACATTTCTCAAAGGAAAAGGAAAAATAAATGGCTAACTGATAGAGATCACAGTCATGCAGGACAAGAGTCTCCATCAGTTTGCAACTGTCTTAATGATTAACAAGAAAAATGCAATCTCCAGAAACCTATAGATTCAATTTCCTGGGACCCTAAAGTCACCCTTGCCTCCATATGAAAGAGAATCTTATATATAAATAATTAGTCACTTCTCACAACCCCAGTGCAGCTCTTTCTGCTCTTGGGCCCTGTCCCCTTACTATAATTAAAAAACACCTTTTTGCACTGGAAACATCTCAAGAATTCTTTCTGGGCTTTTGGCTCCCAAATCCCACTTCAAATCACATCAATTCCATAAATAAGAAATTCTTGAATACAAAAAAAAAAGCTATTATGACAGAAGGTAGTAGTTGCTTGTGCTAGGCATAGGGGACAGACAGACTGGATCAGGATGGGGAGCGTTTGGGTTATTTGTACATTTGTCAAAATCCATCAAACTGTATACTTAAAATGCCTTTCTTTTACTGTATATCAATTACTCCTCAATTTGGTTGTTTTAAAGGGTATAACAAAGAAATCAGAAATTCATTTTTGGTTATAACAATTAAATTGCATAATTCCAAAGATAAAGAGAAGATTTCAGATGTCATCACTTCTCTGTTTTTAGATACTTTTATAGATACTAATTTAATGTTTCCCTCTTATTCCAACCCAGTGGATTATAAATTCTTTGAATGAAGAAACCAATCCCATTCAGCACGTGGAGCTTGTGGTGATGGCTAAGAGCCTGAATTCCGAGTCAGAACTGGGTTAGAATTATCTGTTCCACCATTTATTTACTCTTTGACCTTGGGCAAGCTAATCACTATCAGCTTCAATTCTCTCATCTATAAAGTGAGAATGATAATAATTTACATATCTTAGAGTTATTATAATGTTAAATGAAATGGCATACATAAATTTGTAACAGGGTGATATGACAATGTTAGTGATTGTTATTAGGTAAACGAAGCGTTTGAAAACCATACATTAATCATGTGACTCTGAACAAATCACTTAAGCTGTGTTTTCTTCATTTAGAAAAATTGGGATAAATGCCAAAAATGTAAAAGATTGGGGTGAGTAGGAGTGCCTGGGTGGCCCAGTGGGTTGAGCATCTGACTCTTGATTTAGGCTCAGATCATAATACCAGGGCCATAGGATCCAGTTTAAGATTCCCTCTCTCTTTCTCTCTCTCCCTCTGCTCCTTGCCCCCATTCATGCTCCCTCTAAAAAAAAAATTGAGGTGAGTAGAAAATGAGTTAATCTTGTAGACTGTACAATTATGTGAAAATCACTATTTCAGCTCTATCCTTAAATTTGTCAACTGCATTTTTAATACTGTACTAGCTGCAGTGAGGAGTTTAAAAGTATCAAGCAAAGTGATTGCTACTTCTTGGGTCTTATAATTTAACCTAGAGGAGAAGGAATACAAAGATACATAAAGCTTTCTATGACAGAACCATTTAAATGCAAATAACCCCGTAATAAATCAACATTCCAAGGATGGTTCCTGGAGGGCTTTGAAACTATTAACAATCAGGCTGCCTTGCTTTGGAAGGCCTTCTTGTTACTATCACAATTTGCCCTGACAAGCAAAACTTCCTCTGGGAAGCTTTTTCTAAACTCCAGACTTAGTAAAGTGCCTTCTTTGTTCTCCTACTGCATTTACCGTGTATTATGGGCATAATTTGTTTATGCTTCTATCTCTTCCAATAAGAGTGCTTAAAAAGGTATAAAATCATGGATTTCAAATTGCATTTCTAATCATAGTGCTTGTCACATAGTCACCACTAATAAATGGGAACTGCTGCTGTATCAGATATAATTTCAGCCTTCAAGGAGCTCATAGTCACCAGGTATGTAAACAAATAACTGTTGAACATACTCATGCTTGTCATAATGGCAGCATGAAACAAGTAGAATGTTGACATAAAGGAGGGAATAACCCACTCATCATGGTGGATAGAGTTTAGGGTGGGGCTCCCAAAGAATAAACAAAAATTTTCTTAGCAGAGAGCATAACAGGGATATTCTAAAAGAAGGCAATAGTACATATAAAGACACAAAAGCTTGAAACATCAAGGTGTGTTTTACTAACTGCAAGTAGTTTGAGATGTTCAGAGAATAAAGTTTGAGTGAAAGCAGTAAAAATAACTATGAAAAAGCCAGCAGGGACAAGATCATGGAAAGTCTGGTATAAGAGAATATGATATTTGGATATTTTCTGCAGGCATGGGGAGCCACAAAACTTTTTTTCAAAACATTCTCATTTATTTTTGAGAGACAGCAAGACAGAACACAAGTGGGAGAGGGGCAGAGAGAGAGGGAGACAGAATCTTGAGCAGTTAGCACAGAGCTGAGCACAGGGGTCTCAGGGCTCGAACTCACAAACTGGGAGATCGTGATCTGAGATGAAGTCAGAGGCTTAACCAGCTGAGCTACCCAGGCTCCCCAAAGCTGTTTTATTATAGGAAAGTCATGTTGGAATTTATTACTTTTGGCAATACTAATTGTTCTGTATTTTTACCGTACAACAACATAGGACAGAGGTGAAAATATTACATTTTTATTCTCCAAATATGATGATTTTAAATTTCCTGACCTGGTTCAGGAGTCCACAGAAAATCCTTTCTTACCTTGTGACTGCCTTTGGGATATCATCAAATGGCCATTGTGGTCCAAAGAGTCCACATCCACTGGCTATTAAAGCAGCCATCTTCTCACTTTTCGAGTTAATTTGAGCTCACAATGCACATCTTAAAGGAAAGGAGATTTCAGTTAAAAAGGACTCTTTAAAATACATCCTCTTTTTAATAGTGGTAACCTCCGTTTTCAACTAGTATGACATCAGACAACAACTATGACATCATTGGGTTGCTCCAAGGGTCAGGACAAGGAGGTAGGTGACCCATTAGGACAATAAATAATGATACTCTGTGCTTTTCTCCTTCCTAGGTTCTCTTACAGCCTGGACCATACTTTGAGAAAATAGTTATGAGGTATGTCAACCTGGTGATTCTTAAAGACATGCAGTCAAATGAATACTGGGCACAGTATTAGTGGAAGATGTACACATTTAGTCATACATGTATTCACATACAAAACCCCTGTTTTTGTGAATTTGTATGTGTGAGTATATACATACATGTTCAATTGGAAGTTTCCTGCAAAAGAGCATAGCTATTGTTATGCTTTTGGAGAAATGCACATGGCATGGTGAGGAAGAGGATATGACTATATTCAGCCAGGTTAGCTGTATTTATTAATTTAACCAAAATTTGTGAGCAGGCATTGCTTTAGACTTAAGTATGCAAAACTATGAATAGACATAGTTCCTGACTTGAAGAATTGTATATAAATCCTGTAGGGATACACACAGTTTGAATAAATGAAATTCAAAGTAATACATTCTACAGTAGAGCTATAATGTATCTCTGTAAAAATCAAGATGACGATGGAATCATTAATCGGGCATTTAATGCCTATTCCGCGAAGGGCATTTAAGAATTGAGGCTATGTTATGTAGAAACTAATTTGACAATAAACTATTTGTAAAAAAAAAAAAAAAAAAAAAAGAATTGAGGCTATAGCGGCGCCTGGGTGGCTCAGTCGGTTAAGTGTCTGACTTTGGCTCAGGTCATGATTTCACGGTTAGTGGGTTCAAGCCCCACGTCCAGCTCTGTGCTGACGGCTAGTTCAGAGCCTAGAGCCTGCTTCAGATTCTGTATCTCCCTCTTTCTCTGACACTCCCCTACTCATGCTCTCTCTGGCACTCTCTCTCTCTCTCTCTCACTCTCTCTCTCCCTCTCTCAGAAATAAATAAAAACATTTAAAAAAAAGAATTGAGGCTATAAAGTGAATGAAATACAGACCTTACCCTAAAGAAGGAGTTCAAAGTCTATGAACAGGCATTCAGAGAACAAGTAACTGGTATCTCAGCCATATTTCCCACACACCTACATCCTAAGTCAAGTTTTAATTGGTTTTGTTTTGTTTTGTTTTTCTGGATCCTATTATTTCAAACTCTCTTGCTTATTAATTTTGTTCTTATAAGATGACACACCATCTCTTTTCAACTTATTACTTCAATTCATAATCTCTCGTAATGAAAAAAGTTCCATGTGAGTTGGAGATATTAAGTGAATCCCATCTCTCATTCTGTACACATTTGTTTAGTGCATATTATGTGTTCCAGGCTCAAATTAGAGCTAAAGAAGTAGTCCAAACAGGCTAAATGCAGGCAATAGCTATATTAGCAACCAGATGTTTCCTCTGAAGTCTTAGTAGCAGAAAACTTTTAGAGCTGGAAAGCATAGGACAACTACTACCACATACCTCTGCTGACATGAGTTGAAAGCTATTTGGTCATCAAGGAGTGCTCTCTCTTCCTCACCTCTGTAAGAAAGGTATTGCCATAACATAAATGTGACATACCCTCCAGGTCATTAAGAACAGAACCAGAACTGCCAGTTCATTCCAAATCAGTTCCTAGCAACAACCAATTAGCAATAATAACTTTGAAGTTGGGTGGGAAATGAATTTGTGTTTCTAGGGTTGAAATATACTATGTCCCAATGGGTGACATAATCCCATAAGTAGGGGGCTGGCATTAAGTCACATGCTACTTGACTTTAAAACTTTTAACTTTGAGTTTTCTTTTCTTTCATTTACTTTCCCTTCTCTTCCAACCCTCCTCTTTCATTTTTCCTCCCTTCTTTCCCTCCTTCCTTTCTTTTCATGTGTAGACAGCACCTGTGTCATAAAAATACTGCACATTGGAAACAGAATTGTATCTGATTTTGACCATTTCCTACCAAATCTGTCTCTCTTCAATGTAGTTTTTGCTATATTAGGAGACAGAGTAGGTATGTATCAACAACCCTGAGCAATAGTTGCAGTGAGATCAGATTCTTTGCTGTGTGTGTTAGTGACAAAACAGGTTTCTTTCTTTCTCTTTCTCTTTCTCTTTCTCTTTCTCTTTCCCTTTCTTTCTTTCTTTCTTTCTTTCTTTCTTTCTTTCTTTCTTTCTTTTTTCCTGACAAAACAGATTTAAGACTCATTTCATGTGAGCTCATATTTCAATACTTTGTCCAGGTTCCCCCTTTTTTTTTTCCATCCAAAGAGGGAGAGGTGAGAAATAACATGCTCCTATCCCAAACTTAACAGTTTTTAAAATATTTCTCCCAAATCAATCTTCTTTCTCAATGACATGTTAACTTCTTTCCAAATGAGTCAGGTGAGGAGGTCAACATTGCTCTGAATAAGAGATTCTCAAACACCATCACAAAAAAACAAAACAAAGTAAAAACAAAGTAAGGAAAACCCTGTGTGTCCACTTCCCTGAATCTTTCTCCTCCGGGCATGGTGATGTATATTTCTTTTTCAGTCACTTCCTTGATACCAAACCAGGCCCTTGTGCTTTCGAAGCAACAGAAATTGACAAGAGGCCAAATAGGAGTTTCATGCAAGGCTTTACTGGAGGTGTATGCTTGAGCACGGGGAGGCAGCACAAAGGCCAGAATCCTCAGGCTGACTCTCCGAGGAAAGGTAAAGTTTTTAAAAAGAAACTTAGGTGGGAAAAGGGTGATACATAAGCAAGTAGAAATGGGGATTTATCAGCATGTGTGTATTTATTTAAAAATTTTTTTGATGTTTATTTATTTTTGAGAGAGAGAGAGAGACAGAGTGTTAGTGGGGGAGGAGCAGAGAGAGAGGGAGACACAGAATCTGAAGCAGGCTCCAGGCTCTGAGCTGTCAGCACAGATCCCAATGTGGGACTCAAACCTACATACCATGAGATTATAACCTGAGCTGAAGTTGGACGCCTAACCGACTGAGCCACCCAGGCGCCTCAGCACCTGTGCATTTAAAGGAAAGGCATGTTTCTTCACGTTAACTGCATGTCTAATTAACATGTTCCAACCTCTACCCTAGGTGTGATTTTTCCTACAATGAGGAGAAAAGTCAGTGAAAGCTCGGTACTGGGGTCCATCTTGGTGCAAACTTGGTTTAATCTGGTCTTTCCTAATCTCCATAGTAAACATCCTCCCAAGGACATAGAGTTTTAGGTGTTTTTTTGTTTGCTTGTTTCCCTTGTGGAGTCATCCAAAGAATGCTGGATTTGTGGTCAGGGTTGAGGGGAGCCGAGTCTAGTCCCTTTTCTGTCTTATCCTCACTGAACTCTGTCACCGTAACCAAGTGGACAAGCTGATGGGAAATTCCTCCGTGTGAACTAAGGAAACATTAAAAACATTTTTTAGCAAGATTATTTTATTTTACTTCATTAATATATTTCCATGGTTCTCAGAATGTCTTTTGTTTGTAGACCTTGAGATTGGGGGCCAGGATTGATCCTAAGATTATTTGGTTTCCTATACATTTGAGTTTATACTTTCATTAAAATTTAATAAATCTGAAAAACTTGAACCGGAAAGTCAAATATCAGCTAAAGAAACTCATATTCTACTTTTTAATTTTGCTGGTCCACTAACTCATAGCAAAGAAAAAACAAAACAGGCCACAGGAAATGCTCTCAGTAAATGAGTTTTGAGTGACTAATAAACAAGGAGAGAAATCACAAAATAAATTGAAACTTACTCTTAAACTTTGTCATAAAGTTTTGCTTTTAATTTTTTGCATGTAGGCCATTGGGGTGGAGACTACATAGAAATTGAGGCTTTTGCATTTTTTTCTCTTAAATAATACTGTCCCTCACGGAGAGAGTAGTCAAGGAGAGGAAGATTGGATGATTGTCCTTTATTTACTTCCACCCTCATTTACATTTATTTCATTTCTATTCCATTGCTTTCTGCTGGCTCAAAGGTAAATTTGTTCTATTGCATTAAAAATCTATACAGGGGCACCTGAGTGGCTCAGTCAGTTGAGCATCCGACTTCAGCTCAGGTCATGATTTCACGGTTCATGAGTTCAAGCCCATGTCAGGCTCTGTGCTGACAACTTGGAACATGGAGCCTGCTTCAAATTCTGTGTCTCCCTCTCTCTCTGCCCCTCCCCTGCTTGCTCTCACTCTGTCTCTCTCAAAAATAAATAAACATTAAAATTAAAAAAAAAACCCATTTAGTCATATTGGAGGGAAGGGGGATGAATATTTTTCAAGGGCATCCTATGGGGTAGGTCCTAACAGAAGCACAATTATAAAAGGGAAAATTACATTTTACAAATGAGGAAGTAGATAGAGTAGAGCAGAGCTCAGATTAGTTTTGTAAAATTTTCCTGACTTATTTTTACCTTTTTGTTATAAAGTAACACAGATATAGACAGCCATACAAGTCAGGTGCAGATCTTAGTGAATTATATCACAAACACCCTTGTTATCAGATGGATATGTAGAACTTTCCCAGCCACCTCAGAAGCTCCTCCCAACATGAGCGCCTTTCTTACCTCCAAAAGTACTCATTACCCTGACTGTGACAGCAGCCACATCCTTGCTTGTGTATCCCTAGATACTATAGTTAGATTTTGCCCATTTTTAAAAACTTGATATCTCTTAAATCTCTATTAATTTACAAATTTCTATTCTATCCCCATCTTTTCCTTACATTATAACTATTGAGGAGCCGGCAGATTTTTACCTCTAGATTTTCCACATTCTGGATTTGCTGAGCACATGCTTATGAAGGGGTTTATTATCTTTCTCCTGAAAAAATATATTTTGTACTAATTTGCAGCTAAATCTGGAAGCTTGATCAAACTCATGTCTGACTCCTTTGGCAAGATAATTAGTAGTGTCGTATTATTTACTCAGGGAAGACAGTGGCTTGGTGCTCGCTTCTTTTTGCTGTCAGTAACCACCAGTGCTCAATGCTATCAGTGCCTATTCAATGTGTTTGTAGTCATTTTGGTTGCTTGAAGCTCATTCTTGAGTATATTTTTTAGGAAGTGCTCATGGGAACAATACTCCTTGAGGATTTGCCTGTTAATAACGGTTGTCTATCCTTTTAGTACTTGAAGTTCAATATTACTGGATATAAAATCTAGCAAGGGAGGGGCAGAGAGAGAGGGAGACAGAATCTTAAGCAGATTTCATGCCTATTGTGGCGCTCCGTCTCACGACTGTGAGATCTTGACCTCAGCCGAAAGAGTTGGATGCTTAACCAACTGAGCCACCCAGGTGCCCCTAGATGCTGTCTTTCTAATGTGATTTGGAAGGACCCCCCCCCCTCCAAATTATGCTGCCACTACCATCATTCTAGAATATACTCTAGGGAATCTGAAGCCCAAGGAGATAAAGTTATTTGCCCAAGATCACACAGCAAGCAGCTAAAGATAAATGTGTACATAAAGCATCTTGATTATGCCGGTACAGAGAACCTGCCTAATGCAGGTTCTTCCCTTCTTCCCCTCTTCTTCCCAACCTCTTTCCTTTCCTTTCTTTCTCCAATTCTCCTCATTCCTTCCAGAACCTGTATTTAAACCCAGTTATTTCTGACTTCAAAGCTTCTGCTAGCTCCTTTAATATGCTATGCTACTGCCCCATAATGTGAAGTCACTAGAGCTTTTAAACAAATTTAAACAAAATTAACTTTACTAAAACCTATAGTCATCTTGCTCTAAAGAACACTTTCCACTATGTTTTTATGCTCAAATTCTTTTCATTCAAATGGAATCAACAAATGTTAGATTCTTTGACACATGCCTCATTAAAATATGGTTTGTTAGAAGTAAATTGTCCCCTTATTTTAATGAATCAATTTATAGACATTGTATATAATCCTTTAAAAGCCTTCTTATCATCTACAACTACCTAGAAAACCACATGTGATAAGGAGTCAGTGAAATCTGAATCTGAAAAACCTTGATTTCACTTTCAAACTTAAAATCCACAGAATTTAAAGAGATTTTCAATTAGGCCAAAGTTGAACATTCTGCTTCTGAAAAATCTTCTAAAAGCAAATTTTGAATAGAAAACTATGTAGCTCTCAGACACTGGTCCCTAAAGTTCTAACCTCCATTGGTTAGAGTGCTTAGCTATTGATAATACTTGACTGAAATAGATTTATTCAAAAATTAAATGCACCATGAAGTCTCCCAAGGAATTTATAGTGTATACTCTGTCATATAAACATTCCAGTTTACTAATTCTCCATAATCCTCTATGTAAAGCCAATCAGTAATTAGATCGTGGGGAGTAGAGTTTTGCTTAAGGTATGAAATCACTACACAAGTCCTAAGGGATTTATAGTTCTATTTTAAGCCCTCGCTTTCATAAAATCCTGTTCCAGTTTTTGGCTCTATAATGGATTTCCCAGGTTGGTGATACACCACACAGAAAACACTGTTTCCTTATTTTTCTTTCCTTGAACTTCCTGCTCTTACTGTGCAGGCTTAGTTCATACTGTTTGAATTTACTTATTGTGGTTTGCATAAAATTATCATTCACTCATCTACACGTAGTAGATAATGGTTATTTGCCTATAAATCTAACAGGTACTGAGATTTATTTACCCTTCTGCTCTGTGGGCACCCTTTGAACAAACGGGCAGTTGTTCTTGAAACATTTTCCATTTTTATGAGATTTGGAACTGTTTCTCCTTGTTGCTTTGTGTGCTTTTTAGCAGCTTGAGGCTCCTTCTTTCATGGTGTTTACTCTGGAGCAGGTGTGAACAGAGGCTCTTGGAAACGGTAGAGTGTTAATATCCCGGAGTGTGTCCTGCTACACGTAAAAGATCGCTTCTCTAGGCTGCTGGGAGGTGCAGCGGAAGCCAGGCTTTCACAACACGTGCAAATACACTCACAGTCATGAAGGGTCCCACACCTATGCTCAACCTCTCAAGCTCTCCGATTGCGCAGGCGCAGAAACAGTCCAGGAAACCTGACCCCAAGTTGATCGGAATGTTGCTTTGCTTATGTTCTCGGAAATGTGGAGCTTCGCGTATGTTTCTCATTACTGCTTGTGTTTGATTGCCCTAAGTAATTTTTTAAAATTAAATAAATCTGTATCAAAAATTGTCACTTTGCTTAAAGGAGCAAAATTAGCTTGCTCTGTGGGCTCAAAAAGCAAAGAAAGAAAGAAATGAAATATTTCTGCTCCTTTATGTGTATTTCCATAAATGAGAGTGGCATTAAGACATAGGAATACACTTGAGGTTCAAGGGATTTTAAATTGTTTTTAAACAAATCAAGCACAAAGTACCATTACTTATACAAAGAAATTTATTCAAACCAGAGCTTGTTAATGGAATGTGTTTTAAAATCATGTCTGTTTTAAATAGGTCTTCAGAACTGAAAAGTTACTGGGCCGGAGAATGAGAGGTAAGTACAGTGAGAGCTGATATAGTAACTATAAATTTGGTGGTGCATTGTTTCACCCCAGTCATACCAAGTCATACTTGGGCCTAAATGACTTCATAAATTTCTGGAAATGCGGTTCTTTGAATCTATTTCTATTTTACCTAACTACCTAGGGTCTCTCCCCAAATTCAGCTTGGTAATGCTGTGCCCCCTTTAAGAAAACAGGAAGAAAAAGCTATCTATCTATCTATCTATCTATCTAACTATCTAATCTGAACCTACATGGCTAAATCAAGTGTTTCAAGATCCAGATATCTGTTTCATGTTGCCTTCTGACTCTTAATTATTCCTTCAGTTCACTCTTTCATCCTATGTATATTAAACAGTGTTTTTTATATTAATCATATTTTTTATTTTCTGTATTTGATATCTTGGGTGGCTCGGGGACCCAGGATGGACTGCCCCTCCAGAGGTTATCTAGTTCCTAGAGATACCAAACATCTGGTCTATGAGCACACCTTTGATATACACACCAACCAGTCAGAGCTCATACCTCCAATCCTCTCCATTTTCAAATTTTCACACACCAGGCCAGTAGGCTCCCTGCCCTAACTCAGCCTTTGGCCAGGTACTAGACAACCAAGCACCAACCCTACCTACTGAGATTATTCAGAATATCCAGTCCTAAACTATGCAGTGCACCTACCCTGCTTCATTCATTCCTTCCCTCAAAAACCCAAATCAAGTCTCTCGCCCATAATTTTGCCTTTTTTCCTTCTGCCTCCTAACAGACCCAAGTGCTTCCTCATGTGGCTCTGCAAGCCATGAAAAGCCCCTTACTTTTGAGAAGTGTAGCTAATAAGCTGTGTTTTCAATAGCAGTCATCTTCAGGATCTGTCGGCCCCGCCATACCTGATTTAAACTAAACAAATCCTGGGTACATTTTCATACCCTTTGGCACCCACTCCTTTTGTAGACTCTAGGCCTCTCTCTAGCTGTTTTTGTTTCCTATTCCTAAAGAGTTTTCTAACTGTGGACCATGGCTACAGCTATTAGACACTTCTTTTTAGTGAAGGACTGTCTTGTAAAACTCATGTCTCAGAGAGGTTCCTTGAATTAGGGATGGTGAGGCATCAGCCTGCCCCTGGCTTTTGTGGTGAAGGTGTTCCATTCTGCCAGACATAGCCCAATTTCCACTGTTGCCTCAGGGGCGGCGTGGAGTTCAACTGTGATCCTCTTCTCCTGCTGTACCTGCCCAAGGCTCATCATCTCAAACCACAACTAGCCTCCTGTACTTCACTAAACCCAACCTCAGATCCCAGTTCTCTCCTAAAATATAAGAGCCTTCTGCCCAATTGTTCAGGCTTGTTTCTGCTCTTTCTTAGATATTTTCTCCACCATCTCCACCTGGCCATCTTTTTACTATCTAGTCAAAGTTGTACCAGTTCTTCAGTCTTCTGTGAAATCTCCAATAATGTCTTCTTCCTAGCATTTTACTATATTGAATTGAACATTTTATCATCTGTTGTCTTTTTCTGTTTCATGTACATTTTTCTTATCTAGTTGGATTACTAGCTTTTATTTTTTTACCTTTTTAAAATAAATTTAAATTTATATAAAAATAAAATTGTTTAATAAAAATATAAAATTTTTATAAAAATAAATTTAAAATTAAAAAAAATTTTTTAACTTTTTAAAAAATATATTTCTGAGAGAGAGAGACAATGTGAGAAGGGGAGGGTCAGAGAGAGAGGGAGACACAGAATCTGAAACAGGCTCCAGGCTCTGAGCTCAGATTACTAGCTTTTAAAATACTTGGAACTGTAAACAAAACAAAGCAAAACAAGAAAAACCTTGAAATTTGAACAGAGGACTTGAGCATATTATTTACAAGAAGTATGAGTCTCCTTGGATTTACATAACAAAATCCCACAGGCTGGGTGACTTAAACAGCAGACATTAATTTTCTCACAGTTCTAGAGGCTAGAAATCCCAGTCAAGGTCAAATAGGGTTGGTTCCTAATGAGGACACTCTTGTTGGCTTATTAACAACCACCTCTCACTGAATCCTTTTATGGCATTTCCAAGACGCTTTCATATGTAAAGAGAGAGAAAGACGGAGTTTCCTGGCACTGTTCTTCTAACGACATCAGTGTCACCAAGATTAGGGCCCTTCCCAATGACCTAACTTAATCTAATCACTTTCCTAGAGGCCCCAGCTCCAAATACAGATATACTGACGGCTGGTGCTTCAACATATGGGTTGTAAGGGGTAAAAAAATCAAGTGACTATGACCATACCTCTACATTTGAAAAGGAAGATAACACTCAGAATTTCTCCTGAAAGTCTACCAAAGGCTGAACCATGTGAAGTGTTCAGAATGTAAATTTTAAAAAAAGAACTTTATTCTGTGTATTTATCAAATTGATATAGCAGAACAAGAAGCAAATTTATGTCACTTGAGATTCTGGAGTTAACTTTTCTGGTTTTTAGTGTTAGACATTGGCTATTAGAAAGCCTTCACATTTTTGCAGCTGGTTCTTTCCATTGCTACTACACACAGGATGGAATAGTCTATGATGTCAAATTCCCTTTCTCTATAAAAGGACATTTTTAAGAATATTTCAAAAGGAATCATCTTGTTCATCATATGACCAATCTAGTATCACACTCCAGCATGAAAGTCCCAGAATTCTAGCTGAAATATGGAGAGGTCATTTACAATTACACATCACAGTTGTAGAGGCCAGCTTTGTTTTGTTTAGTTTTGTCTTTCCATTTGGAATTTGAGACTCTTTTTTAGTAAACTCCACCCTGTCCCTTCCAGGTCGTTTAGACTTTGTGTCTTAGACTCTTCCCAAAGAAACCCAAATTCCTTTTGGTGAGAATCAGGAAAAAATTCAATTCAAGTTAAAATTGCCTACCCAGGCCACTCCCTAGAATTTCAAGTTAGTCATTCAGTCCATCATGGTTCCTAAATTATGAATCCTTTGAAATAGTATTTCCTAGGTGCTGCCACCCATTATTATGAGAACTTCTTTTGATTTACCCCTAAATTTCACCTTGTTCTCACCTTCTTTTTGCTTTATTCCACATTGTCACCATGCCCCAAGAGAAACCTATATTCTCTTCTTTAACAATTCTCTCATATGAATTACTTTTCCCAGTTATTGGAATCACTTTTGATTCCTTCTACTTTCACATCCCTCACATGTAATTGATCACTGAATCATGATGATTCTCTCCCTTAAACACTTCTAAATTCGTTCATCCATTGAACCAGGATTTATTGAGAACTTTGTATGTGCCAGGCTATTGATGGTGAATGAGATTGGCTCAGTCCCCACTTTCATTTGTTTTATAGTCTAGTGGGCAATGAGTTTTCACTGCCTCAGAAAGTGCTGGGCTGAACTCACCATAGAGGGGATGTCAGGGCACAGAGAAAATAGCAAGTGCAAAAGAAGCAATGTCCATTAGTGAAATGGAACCAACGTCAGCGATTAAAACTGTCTTCTAAATGGTTCCCTCACCTCTAACTAATCTTCTATTTGCTGATAAACCTTTCTTTCTAAACACAGATCTTATTACATCCTTGTTTAGGAACTATAGGTAAATTTCCATTACAGAATAGTTACACTCATCATATCATATATAACCCTGTGTGGAATACTTCTAGCCATCCCACATTACTTGGGGAAGGGCCCAAATAAAAATACACTTTGAAATTCCATGAATTTCCTTCTTCCTCCTATATTTGTTCACCTGATGAACTCATTTTAGACTCAGCTTTAATGTCATCAGCTTCCTAACCCTTCAATTTCTCAAATAAAATCAACTGATATTTTTGTCTGATTTTGTAGCTGTTAAAAGCACATAATTTTCCTGTGACTGTCTCTGTCTAGACTATTTATTTTTTGAGCCATCAAAATATTTTATTTTTGTTTTTTACTAGCTCTGAAAATGGCACCAAACATATCAGAGGTGTTCAGTAAATACATCCTCAATTAAGCTCATAAAGAGTGAATTAAACTCTTTTCTCTCTTCATTAGGACCAATGCACTTGAGTCCTTTTTGTTTGAGTTTTCTCCTTCTCATTTTTAGAAATCATTTATTTCAAGAAATCTCTTTAATAAAGGTTGAACTACTTGTGGAGTGCACCGTCCATTTAATAGGAGAATGGTCAATCTTTAATAAAGTTGGGCTTAAAATAACATACATTTCCCTATGCAGATAATGGCATCCTGATACTGATTCTTTTTTTTTTTTTTAATAGTTTATTGTCAAGTTGGTTTCCATATAGCACCCAGTGCTCATCCCCACAAGTGCCCTCCTCCATGCCCATCACCCCCCTTCCCCTCTCCCCCACCCCCATCAGCCCTCAGTTTGTTCTTGGCATTCAAGAGTCTCTCATGGCTTGCCTCCCTCCCTCTCCCCCACTATTTTTCCCTTTCTTCTCCCCCACGGTCCTCCCTTAAGTTCCTCTTAATCCTCCTATATGTGCAAACATATGGTATCTGTCCTTCTCTGCCTGACTTATTTCGCTCAGCATAACACCCTCAAGTTCCATCCATGTTGCTACACATGGCCAGATTTCATTGTTTCTCATTGCCATGTAGTATTCCATTGTATAGATAAACCACATCTTCTTGATCCATTCGTCCGTTGATGGACACTTAGGCTCTTTCCATGTTTTGGCTATTGTTGAGAGTGCTGCTATGAACATTGGGGTCCATGTGTCCCTATGCATCAGCACTCCCATATCCCTTGGGTAAATTCCTAGCAGTGCTGTTGCTGGGTCACAGGGGAGTTCTGTGGTTAATTTTTTGAGGAATCTCCACACTATTTTCCAGAGGGGCTGCACCCGTTTACATTCCCACCAACAGTGTAGGAGGGTGCCCATTTCTCCACATCCTTGCCAGCATCTAGAGTCCTTTGATTTGCTCATTTTAGCCACTCTGACTGGCGTGAGGTAGTATCTCAGGGTTGTTTTGATTTGTATCTCCCTGATGAGAAGGGATGC